CGACGGCGCTGCTCGTGTGACCGCCCCGGCGGCCGGGAAAGAGGCGAGCCCCAGACGGCTTGTGCAAGCCCCGGCCCTCCGCGGGGCCGCCGGAAACCACCGCGCCCCGCCCGCACCGCTCGGGGCCAGAAGCAGCCCCGGTCCGCGACCCCGCTGTCGGACTCGGGCTGCCGCCTTGAGCCGGCCGTGCCCGCGGTGACCTTCAGGAGGTGCCACCCCCGCCCGGCTCGGCGCGAAGGAGCTCGCAGGAGCCAAGCCTGGTCTCGGGCAGGGCTGGAGCCGGGGCACCGGCTGATGTAAGGCGGCTGTGCTCTACACCCCGCGCCACTCTCAAGCGTCTTTTGGAAGGAAGGTTTCTCATGGCATACATGTAAAAATGGATTCCGATTACTTTTAAGGCTGTAAAAAACAAAACAAAATCCCAAAAACACCCAACACTATGAAAAATACTATCAAGTACACCTTTAATAAAGCTTAAGGGGAGCGATGAGATATATTGTAAATACAAGTCTCTGCTGCCAAAGATTTTAGAACTGCTGTTCATAGAAGTCAAAGTAGTCTCATATAGAGGAAGAGTACTTGGCGTCAGTTTTAGGAGATGATCACAGCTATAATGCAATCCTGTGGCTCCCCTGAAATGTCCCATTGCTCACTGCTGTTCCTGTCACGGCTCTGCAAAGTTGTGTCAGCAGCAGCTGGAAGAAGTCCTATGTGTCAGTATATTCGTCTCTTTTCTACTCCTCTGAGCAGTGTCAGTTACTTCACAAGCACCACTTTTCTCTCCCTTATTTGACACCAATATAATTTATATTTAGGATAGGGAAAAGTAACTTTTATTTAAAGGGTTACTTTTCTTTGTTTAAAAGTGACTGTAATGCATTATATTTACCAATCAGAGTTTATTTCTAAACCAAGTCTTAATAATTTTCCTCTGCATTCCTTTCCTAGTATTTAAGAAAAACAAACAAACACCTAGGTTTTTTAATTCATGACCCCACAAAACATTTGCTGTGCAGATAAACGGCAGTATTGGGAAAGCAAGTCTGTTTACTGCAATGAAAAGGGAAAAGCAGCTGCTCCCAACTTTCTGAGAAAAGGTGGCTGGTAAGGACAGTCATGTGGCACATGCACCCACAGGCAAGCAGGCAGCAGCAGAGGAGAGGGAGAAAAAGGCTGTTTTAGGTACTGAAGCTGAGGATTAAATAGATTGATAAAACCAAAGGGCAAAAGATGCTGCTTAAAAATAACTTGCACTATACCAGTGAAATGGCCCAAAGCATAGCAAGTGAAGTTCCCCATACCACTCGATCACATTCTACTTTTCATTTCTTTGATTAAAAAAAGATAGCTCTTAGATTTTAAAGACTATCACTGTCCACCATGTAAAATATATTTACAAAAGCTTATTATAAAGGGCTCTGTTTTCCAGATTGTACAGTGTTCTACCACAAGAGAAAACAGACTTCAATATTCCTTTCAAACTGTCTTTTGTGAAAAAATTAACAGCACTGAATTTTATGTTTGTGTGGGGTAGGTGCCAGTTACATGTGGAGTTTTGTCAGATGAGTTACCCATGTTATTCTATCCATCCAGGGAAGCAAGAAACCTCTTCACATTATCACATGCCAGATCTGAAGGATGAGGCCTGGGAAGTTGGGCAAGATGCGAATCCTGCACCTCTGGCTGCAGCCACACATACCACTCACAGAGCAATGACCAGCTAAATCCACAGCTCAGCTTTGCCTTTGTTTACAAGGCTATAGGTAGCTACACCTCTGTGTGGTTCTCTGAGTCTGTGTGTAGAAAACATGGACTCTCCAAACAATTTCCTCAATGCTGCTAAAAATCTGTTTCAATTTTCCTAAGCATACAGCAGTTTTTCCCACTCTGGCCTTATAGGAATATATTGTTCAGGAATAAGGTCTTAATTTCTCATTTAAGAAGCATTTTATTTTAAATTGCTCACAGTGCAAATTGTTATCTCTTGTACATATTAGCTATGAAACAACAGCTCTGAGGGAAGTGCAGTAGGTTCATGTTGTACTGTTTTCCTCCCATTCCAGTGGAGACCGATGTAAGGGAGTTATGATCTTTACCCTTTCCTCCCACCCTTTGAAAGACTTTAATATTTGCATATTAGCAAAAAAAAAACCCCAAAACCCACCAAATCTATCAAAACAAATTTAAAGCTCTAACTATTAAAATCAAAACTCTACAAACTCTGGAACATCATCTGCCAATCTACTGACCTTAACCTGCACTTAGTAACAAATTCCCAGTGAAGAGCTGAAACTTATGTGAACATCTCACTTCTCTGTCTACATAAATACAGTTAAGTTTGTATTTTTCCAGCAAAAAGCCACCAAAGTCAATTTTCATTTCCTTTCTGCATAGAAAGGTTGCTGCATCATTGTGTACCACATGGTTTTCTGGCCTTTTAACTCAGAAAAAGAAACTCTGAATACCTCCCTCCGGGACACCGATACATTAGCTGATTAAATACAAAAGGAACACAGGTTTAAAAAACGTTTTAATTTGTTTTATCTGCATTTCAAAGCTATTCAAATATTTTTCATTTACTGTAAAAAAGGAAAAAAAAAAAGAGGCAAGTGTATCAGAAATTTAATGCCAAGTTTAAACGGTTTCACTATACAGAACAAGCATGCCAGTTTGATGGCATAACTTTTTTTATAAAAAAACACCCCCCCAACAAAAAAAAATCTTTATTAACCTTTCATGCAAGAAATGTGCATTTTAGCTACGACCAATCATGGACAGGGCATTAACCCATCCAACAGAAGTAACATCTGGACAGAAGTTGGGTGTATTCTATGCTTTCTCATAGTGGCGAACAGCAACCACGTCACCAAAGGTGAGAGTCTGCAAGTCCAAGGAAAAGACAAATGTTAAGAGGCTGGGCCATTTTCTGTAATGGTTTAACACATTATGAAGTCCATGCTAAATCAAGGTTGGCTTATACTATGTAATTTACAGAAAAACAAATAGATCATTGACATTTTAAATGAACAAGAAGCCAAACCTTAGCATCATTTCTTATGGGAATCACAGCTTTCTCCTTGCTGCTTTCACACCAAAGAAACACAATACACATTTACAAGGTAGCTGTTAAAAATTTAACTTTCTGTTTATTTTCTTAAAATATAGCATTGTTTTAATACAGACTTAACACTTATTTTCCCAAGCTTTATCCCACTAAGATATGCAACCTAAAATTACAAGGCCTCTATATTATTATGCATAAATATAAACTCCAGGAGAGCCTTGTCTTAAAAAGGTACATTCTGTACCCTGTGTAGCTAGAACTACCAATACTCTAGTCACTGCAGTTGTGCAGAACACCAACTACTGTGTGCATTCTGGAGCTATTTCCTGTAGTAGAACAAGGCATCTCATTGTATTCAAATTCCAAAGGACAAGATTTTCTATATCTGTGTGATTCATGCATAGCTGCTTCAAAAAGAAAAGCATGTGCTTTCCCTTGAAACACTTGTCACTTGTGTTTCACTATGCTTGTAAAGTTTGTAAAGTATTGTAAGTCTTCATCCACATAGATACTCTCTGAAATAATTAGGAAACAAAATAACTGATCTTCAACAATCAAATCTGACAGATTAGTACAGCTGAAGACATTTTATTTTTGAAAGCTACATCTCTATGCCATGGAAAGTGCTATCCTGGACATTAGCTATAGTAACTTTTAACATTTATTCATATATTATGTTATTTTATAACATTTATTTTCAAGCCCATAGTGTTGTTCCTAAAAAGTCAGGAAAGGCAGGTGAATTTTCTCTGACTGTTCTCCACACAATTGCTGTTTATCATGGTTTTTAACTAGACAGGAGGACTAAACCCTTTATTATTAAATATGAAAAAAAATATTGGCTCCCATAATATTGTAATTTTATTTTCACAGGAAACTACTTGTTCTGTGTAAGTAAATACTATTTATGTGTGCATACATAAAAAGTTTTTAAAGAAGTCTAAATTGTCACTGGCAACAGATAATTTCCTATATAATCAAGAACTTTGTATCATTACAAGCTCATCAGGACTTTTTTCCTGGGTATTTACACAAGAGTCTAGAAAGAACATATATATGTCTGGAAATCCACAGGCTGACCTACCTAAGCCACTGGCAATTTTTTAATTGTCAGTAAAAGACGAACCAAACCAAACTAAACATTTTAGAAATCCCTGTTAGCGTTCCCCACCAATTAGTTTTGAGTTTGTGTCTAAGTCACACTGTTCACAAAGCTTGAGATAAGGGTAAGTTAGGAGTGTTTGCAGTGCATGCAAATGCTCAGTGTGCTCTATACTTACCATTACCATTTTGCCATCCTTTATTTCTCTCACAAAGTTTGTCTCTTTGCCGTCCCATTTCTGTACGTGCACTAGCTTCTCTCCATCCAGGGTCACAACTGACTGTGAGATACCAAGAAACACAAAGACATGCCTTTAATTAGGGTACTTGGGATTCTGCTCACACATGCAGCATGCACTGTTCTATTGAATTCTCTTCAATAGATGGATGTGGATCTAGAATGATAAAGTAGTCCCAGCCATTTTAAAGCCAAGGCTATGAATCATCCTCGTTTTTAAGTATGAAATCCACACAATTCTTGTTTGTGTCAAAGGATAAAAAAGTTGTTTCCTTTGAGTTCCAGTCTCCCAAGAACCCGTTTCAGATGTGGCCTGGAATAATATTTGATGTTAAGCCCCCAAAGGTGCAGGAAAAGAGGCATCTGACTCTATTGACTGGGAAAAGATGTTATTTGGCTTGTGAGAAAAGAGGGCAACTAACACAATCAATTGACACTGGACGACGGACAGGGAGTTGGCAAGGTGATACATTCAAAAAAGTCATGGTATAAGCACGTACAGGCAGCAGGACTCAATCTTGCCTTGTTTTCCCGTCCTTTGCCGTGCTATAACTAGTAGCAACAGAAGTTACTTTTTTTCTTTTACCCTACCAAAGGGCAGAGCCTGGGGGGAGGGAAGAAAAAAGGAGAGGCGACGGCAGCCCCAGAGTTCACTTACTTTGCAGTTTCTATCATCTGGGGTAGTTTCATCAAATTCCTCTCCGAGTTTAAAGCTGATTTCTGTGTTTTTGAAAGTACTTTGAGTTCTGATCACTACTTTGTCCCCCTCGCTGCTGATAATCACAGTGGGTTTAGTCACATTCCCCACCTGCCGTGTTGCAAACCCCACTCCTAGACCATTCAAGGGAAAAGAGAAATACATAAAACTTCGGTATTTTTACTTTCCCCCCCCC